CATGCCCATTATGCATCAAGGCAGCCTCACATAGAACCCAGAAAAGTTCCGTTCTCTCCAGGTAGGTGCTTAGCTTACTCCTTTTCTCACAGTCCCGCCTGCGGTGTCCTTCGCAGATTCCAATGGGTTTGGAGCAAAACGGCGATATTGGGGTCCTTCCTTTGCACCGCGACTTTGTGTGGGACGTTCGGTTCATCTTCTTCGGGGCACTCTGGTGGCTGGCTTTGTTTTGGGTGATAGAGGCGATGATGGCATTTGCGCACTTTGTAATTTCTTACACAGCGACTGTATGGTACTTCTCACCCCCCGAAGGGGCAGACGAGAGGGACGTGGGATGGTTTCCTCCCCTTGTGGCCATAGGGCTTGGCTCCATTCACCACTTGGGAAGTTTTGCAGTCGGCGGCCTTGTCATGGGGGTAACGCGGCCCATCCGGCTGCTGTTTCCGTGGGCGGCGACCAAGCACTTGGCCTCGACGGAGGACTCACCTGTCGTTCAAAGCTTGAGGAACAGCTTTCGTGAGCATTGCTGCCTTTTCATGCATTCAGAATTACTTCTGCTTCTACGTCCGCACCACGTTATCCGCTCGCGACAGTAGACACTTCACTAGGGGTTTAAGCTAAAGGGAAGGCGTCCAGTCCAGTCTGGAATGCATGCATGCGACTTTAGGGAGCATTATGAGCCCGCTGGAGTTCATCGTTGACAGGTTCACCTCTTCAGGGTACATCGAGGTACGGAACTACACAAGCTGTGGTTGCCACCAGGGGACAAACACTGGCGAGCAGAGGCTTTACAAATGCATGCGACGATAGATTTCCGCGTGTTGCTATCCTGTTAATCAGATGTCCATATCATCCAAACCCTTCTTCCCTGCCATGGACAAGTCCTACATCCGTTTGAATCAAGCGAGGTCGCCTGCAACATACCTGCATGGGGTAACTCCAGTGTCGATACCTATTGCCTTTTGCCTAGCGTATTTTATTGCGTAGCTAGGTATGCGTAATATGGCAAGCGTTTTAGCTATTGCGTGCATGCTCTGTAGAGTGGGGGCTGGCTGTACGCCCCCTCTACTTTCTCTCCTCCGCAATCCTCCTGTTTCTGTTCAGGTCGTAGCAACTGCCTCTGCGATTGGCTCCTTATTTATTTCTCTTATGATTGGCATCATGATATACTCCGTGAGTTTTCTGGAGAACAGCTTAGAATGCAACTTCCTCACGCACTTCCCATGTTTCAGGGCTCTGCTAGCTACTATGCTGGGAGGCTGAGTGTGTGTTCTCTGCTAGACGCTAACTGCCGCGGAAAAGTACTCATCGATTACGTCGTCTTCCTTCGTGGCAGCTCCTCTTTGCGTCTCCATATTCACGGCCGCCACAAGTTTCATGATTGCCATGCACTCCATGTCGGTTTGGGACATCGTCTCCGACACGTTCATGTACTGCTTTTTGGTAGAATCTGTACAGCCGCCTGGTACGGAAGGGACACAATCACTAGGTGTGGAGGACCAATCGTGTGTGATGCCTCCCTGTGCCACGATTTTACACAGCGCACTTACCCAACCACCCTCACTTGCCTCGACTGCCATTCCAACTATGTAAGCAGAATCATTATTCGAACGTCTGTACCGTGCCTGTGAATGATGTGCGTATGCCACTCAGTGGTTGATGAGAACCCCCTAACAAAGGTGCACGCCCCCGGATGCCTCCGCGAGCTTCTCCTCAATGCGCAGTCGAGCCAATTTCACGGGTAACAGGGACCACAAGAGCACGCCGGCATGTAACTGTCTAGGCGCGTTCACCCCCACTCGCGGGTGGGGCACTGGCTTTAGTATTTAGTGCTGCTTCGTGCCTAGTGCAGGAAAAGCACAATTCAACCTACTGAACGTCTTCCTTCTGCAGCTCTCCCCGGCTGCTGTCTAGCGGAGGCCCCACTGCTTAAGCAGAGTCGCAGATCTATCTCTTCACACGCAAAAATTATGGCTTCAACTCGGCTCGGCAGCGGCTGCACAAAAGCTCAGCCGACCGCCAAGACCGTTTAGTTTGTACCGAATCGAGAAAGTTTTTTGATGACGCAACTTTGAAGAGCTTTGAAATTGAACTGCGCCTCGCTAGCACGAAGCAAAACCCCCACCTGCCCCTCGTGGCAATATCTTACACGGAAGGCACTCAGCAGAGCAGCATACGGCTCTCAAGAGCAGAGGGAGGCCGGAATATTGCCGTGGGGATGACAGAAGCTGAACAAGGGCTAGCTAGTTGCACAAAATTAGGGGAGGGGGGCTCCCCTCTGAGCTGAGCTGATTATCTGTATTATCGCAGACCCCACGACAACAAAGAGAAAGACAGCCAATACGATGGGGCCCACGGGATACCCCTTTCCCTTCCTCTGTTTGCTTTCGGAGACCTGCCCTCTCTTCGTGATGCTCCGATCAAAGGCTTCAATCTTCTTCGAGTACTTCCTGTTTGTGCCCTGCAACAGCGCAAGCCAAAAACTCACCCAGGAAATGAGCAGAAATATGTATCACACCACAGCATCTCAAACGAAGCGGATAGTACAACCCGACGACCGGACCCCCGCAGGCACATCTAGCTGAACATCAACTCGGCATCGAGAGCGGCCTAGGCTTAGTTTGGAGAGAGGTGCTTGTTAATTTTGCATGCCGCAAGAAATGCAAAGCAAAGACAAGTGTATCTGATGGCAGCACACCAGCGGACGCAGGCGAAGCGCGAAACCGCAGTGCAGTTACCACGACCACACGTGATAAAAAGCAGCTCCTGGCTTATTAATGAGCCTTTTTTTGTATTGAGGCTATTCCCTGTCTCAATCTCCATGGGCGCTCACCGCCATTTTGCCGCCAGGTAAGAGCCGCTAAGAGTCTTTCAAAAAATGGCGGAAGAGATGCAGGATGTATCCTGCTGCAGATCACCTAATTCTGCAAGTGTTACGGGAAAACGCCTAATATACTTCTTAAATGCATATCATTAGTACATCGACGATTCAGTGGCCACAGCAAGACACGCCGACCGGCCGAGAAAAACCCGAAGGGAGCGGCGCGCGACGGAGCGCAAAGCCACCGAGAGGTCCATGAGCATAGAAGTCTAAGTTTTCCTACGTGGCCACCGAAAATTCAAAAGTAAATGCTGGAATAAATTAGGCGAAGATATGCTCTTGCGCATAATATCCTCAGCCGTTCGCGTTCCTCATGCACGGGTTTTGACCAAGGTGGCGTAAATTCGGGTATCCCGGTTCTAGTGTGATTTACGAAACTGTACAGCAATGCGACACAAATTCTGATTCTGCGAGTATCCATTCACCAGTTTCTACGCCTAGCCATTACAAGCGAGCAGTGGTGATGTACTAACTGTGGCATCGGTTGGTCTGCCTCGAGTTTGGAGCATGGTCTGTTGGGAGATGCTACGTGCATTTCTACTCAAGTGCACGTTGGCTACAAGGAATCAAGAAAGCGTTCCGCAACTGCGTACAGTGCTAGTGCATGCATAGAAAGGGGGCTCGGGAACCCTTGCATGCGGTTTTGTAGGAGGCAACCACGCATGCAAAGGTGCCCCAATCCCCTTTAGGGCAACTGCAGTCAGTGGTACCTATGAGCACCAACAACACGGCTCTGGGCAGCTGTATCTAAAACTCCTGGATATTGGGGAGGATGCCGGCCTTTTTGGGAACTCGAAAATATGCAAACTGCATGACGGTCATACTCATTACACTTCGTAGCACCGCATGGCTAAGAGAAGCAGGCGCAAGCGGCAAGTTTATTCCCAAATATCAGCGGCTTATCCAGTGCATAGCACTGCATAGTCGTTAAGGATCTTCAAGAAAAGTAATCTTCAGATTTGCCTCAACACACCTTTCTCTAAGTTTACCACTGTTCTCCTATCGAATAAAGCAGATTAATCAGGATCTACCCTCCGGCGCAGAAGCAACTGACGACTGGGCGGCTCGTTGCATTGGAATGAGTGCTGGGTCTTCATCCCATCCAGCGAGAACAGTCCGAATGTGACGCCCACTCCAATGCCGGTTATTAAAAGATTTAGTTGCTTCTGTGGTGTCCTTGTGCTTTGTTGCGTTTTTATGATGCAGCCGAAGAGCTGCAGGTGCTACTAGTACCCCCCATATTACAAGGAGAGGCACTACAATAGGGGCTTTTTCTTAGAAAGGAGACCTCCCTTCCTGACAACATCCGGTCCTTGGAAGCTTTCCGAGCTGCTCTACGGTTTAGGTTTGTCGTAAAGTGGTCACGAGAAGAAGCTAGGGTAGAATAAAGACAACTTAAACGTGGGAATGTGTACAGCGTTACGGCTAAAAGTATCGGTCTTTGGTAAACAAAAGTCTAGCGCTCAGGAGTGGAACTAGCAGATGGTGGAGTACTGACGCACCAACGAGAGTAAAAGCCCTTTCCACCGCCCTAGCTCAGAACCAAGGAAGATGAGTTGGAAGTTACCCAGGAAGTCGAACAGTATGCAGAGGGAAGGCTTAGGAAGGGTCAAGTTCAACCGTTAATATGGGTGAGTTTCGATACAGTCTCGCGCTGGAGAGGAACGATGCGAGATAGCGCATTTTCTTGGACTTCAAGCCGCAAAATAGAGCCATGACGAAACAGCGCGTCCAATGCCAGGATCAGACTGCTTGAGCGCTTGAAGGGTCCAACGGCTGAAGCGTTTTTTGCATATCCCAAAGTGCATCCATGATAGGCACAACCGTTGCGTGCCCGCACTTGCAAAGCACAGTACGCATGCATGCCCTTTGTCCTCGAGAGTGCATCTGGTAAACTACGGTGACGGGGCAAATACGATCGTTTGGGCTTGATCAATGAGGACTGAATTTTCATAGGCATAGGGTAAGCTTTTGTGTTCAGCTGAAATCTCCAGGCACCTGCTGGCATATCCTGCAGCTGCTACGTGAGAAGCGCCGGTTCGCCAAGGCATCATATTGTTCGTTCGTCAT